TTCCGTTTTGGTTTTGGTTTAGTTACGTTACGTACGGTACGTTCGTTCGTTCGTTCCGTTACCTTTCTTACTACGTACTACTAATATATACTTACTTCTCTCTCTCTCTCTCTCTCTCTCTCTCTCTCTCTCTCTCTCACACAGATGCTATTATGATTTATCATTCATGTTCTCTTGGCATCTTCTAGTCTCTGAATATTTGTTATCTTTTTGTCTGTTCTACATTGTTAGTAATTTTGCCCTTATTGTTATGTTTTAACTGTTAAGTGTTTTTTGTTACACTTTCCTTCCTTTTATCTCATAAAGTAGGGGTTATCAACACCCCCCACTTCTCTCTCTCTCTCTAGCTAAGATGTTAGTACGAATTATAGTTTCATCTAACGTTTGCATCTTCATTGACTGTGAAGATTTTTAGAGGTTTTGTTTATTTTCATTTTATTTCTTGTTATGCCTTATTTTCTTTGTCGCTTAAAATAAGGATTGTCATCTCTCTCTTACGAAGATGCTTTTATGATTCATCATTATAATTTCTTAGCATCTTCAAAATCTGTGAAGATTTTTAACCTTTTTGCTGTTCTCCATTTTATCTGTTTTGTCCTTATTGTTAATGTTCTAACTGTTTCTTTTGTTTTCTTTACCATCATGATTTGTGTTCTTTCTTTCTGAATTTCATTTGTTTGAATATTATTTGTTTAGTTTGCTTTTGTAATTTCCCTATTTTCCTCCCTATCTTCTTGATTTTCTTGATAAATTAATTATTCATTCCTTGCACCAAATCAAAACATACATAATGTTATACTCCAAGGTACCCGAGATAAACATTTGCATAAAACAAAAAAATAAACCTAACAAGAAGATTAGGTTTTCCCTCTTTATTTTCTGTTTTTTTATTGGTTTTCCTCCTGTTGATATTTGTGGTAGTTTTGTCTTCTTTTTTTTTTTTCTTTTTTTTTTTTACTCTTTTGCCTTTTGTTTGCTCTTCAAATTAATTTTGTTTATTTTTCATTTTCAATTTTTAAGAAAAAATCATTTTCCCTTTTGGATTGCTTTTCAAGGTTTTCCAAAATTCTCCTCCCACCCTCCCCCACTCAGCAAGTTGGTTTTTTTTTTCCAGCTGTTTCTGCTCTTTTGGGCATTTATAAATGCTTCTTGTTCATTTGTTTTTTGGCAAATTAGCAGTATTATACTTTCTCTCCTTTTTGAAATATCTGTGGTTATTTTATTCTCACCTATTTCAAGGATCTGTAGGTATTTTAAAAGTTTACTTTGTCTTGTCCTTATATTTGCACTTTTTAACATTCCATGCTTGAGATTGAAATGGGTATTGCACGTGTGCACATGTGTTTAGTCACTCTCCAATAGTCTCAGACTTATTTTGCTTTTTCATTGCGAGTTTGGGATTTGAACTTTCAACTTGACTTAGGATACATATGTAGCTCCAAAGTCCAAACTACTGAAATTTGGGATTGGCTAAACTTGCATTTGAGAATTAGGGATCATTTTTAAAAGAAATTTTAAAGAAAAGAGGTTTCTTCTTGTTATATGGCTGGCATAATTATTCAATCTCCATCAAAGTTTCTTTGATCATTGGAAAATGAGGGAGAAAATTGAGCAAAACCCTCTTCGAAATTCTATTAACTAGAAGAACTTCACTTGGAAAATGATCCTATTTTGTTTGACGCATTCTATGATCCATTGGACTAAGAAAATTATATTCAATTTGATCATCAGTTTCATCACTCATTCATTTGAAATGATGCACTTTGATGGAAGAGAGTGGGACCCACCATTGGGGTCATGACTTGTTTTCATGGTAATTTGATTAATAGTCCTTTTTTATTACTCATTATTCTGTTATCTTTTTCTTAATCTATCAACTCCACAAATAAAGAACATTCCGTAAATATAGAACATTCTCACTTGTCAATATATATACATACATCACCTGTACTTCTAACACAATAAGGCAAGCAATATGACTCTGCTGGTTGGATAAATTTTTCCAGCATTCAATAGGTCGGAGGAGCAATTTTATTATGATCAATAGCACAAGACCGGGGTATAAGGCTTCCTACTAATTCGGTCCAAGACCACAACGAAGGCCATGAGTAGAGCATGGTCATGGCCTGGATGGACCACCATAGAGAATACATCATCAGTTAACATGACATTAGACCTTGACATCTTCCTACTTATCTTGGCTACCAATTCACCAGTGGCTGTTTTTATGGTGCAATTTCTCTTCCGGAAACACCCCTCTATTTGAAACTTGGGCACCTGAGAACCCATGAAAACCTCTGCTTGGTCATTATTTTGGAACACTGAGCATCTCCTTAAAGCGAAAACTGGGTGCTTTTGCGTCTTTTTTGGGCCAGCCTCACCCTCAAAACCTTCCCACCGATCATGTGTGCTCAAAATCTGTTTGATAAATAAATACACAGGTTAATAAATTATGATGTTATTCAAATCAAACATCTCTTCCATTGCATAATTTTTTCAAAAGAAAAATTTAGAAGCTATCATCTTTTTTACCATAGTTTGTTTCCAATTTTTATTGTGTATGTGGCCATGTGTGGGGTTAGATTGATAGACGTTTCTTTCTTTATGTGTTGTGTTTACTATGATGTTGAATAATAGCATTGGCACTTCTTGAAAGAATTTTTTGATGAGGTAGTTTTCAAGAGGTTTCCTAAATTTCTGGTTTTTCTTGGAAAATTCTTGTGCAAATCTTGGGTAAGATGGAACAAAAGGCAAAATTATAGAAATAAATGTTAGAAAATACAGACTTATAAAAATAAATAGCAAACTTTTATCTTTTTTGGAAGCTTTTTTCTGTTTGGAGTAAGGAAAATTCAGTTAATAAAAATAATTATCCTTTTAAATGGTAAGATATAAGCTTTGTGATAAACGTCTTTCTTTTCTTATACTTTCCCTAACTTATATTTTTTGAGTATACAAATTATTATTTTCTTTGGAGTTGTGTTTAAATTTAGACATATATATATATATATATATATATATATAAGAGAGAGAGAGAGAGAGAGTATGTGGAGCGGGGATGTTCCTAGGTTGAGATATTGAAGCTCATGCATGTGTGCCGGAGATATGACTTGATTTGGTTTCAATGGAATCTTATAACTACGATTCAAATGAAAGACTTTCTGTAGGAACTTCAGAAATTTAGAGAGAGGTTCCCACTTCTGGTATACAGTTGGAACTATAGAAACTTAGAGGGATGATCCTGCTGTTCATATTTAGGCATAGTTTCTTGTATGGTTTGCATGTTTTGAAAGAGAAGGATGGCCCTATTGTTCATATATGTGCATAATTTCTTGTATGGTTTGTATGCTTTGAGAGAGAGAGAGAGAGAGAGAGAGAGAGAGAGAGAGAGAGAGAGAGTGTGTAGTTAGAGAGGAAGTACTATTCGTGTGTGTACGTACGAAGGAATAAACATACTTACGTTTAACGTTAACCGTTAGTACGTAGTA